GGGTGAGCAGTTAATGTGGCAACTGTGGGAGTCCCCGTTAGACTGACCAACAAAGTCGTGCCAAGGAATTGTGCTGCAAGCAGGCGGAACTATTAGGTAAAGCGTATACTAGAAATGTTGTCGTACAGCTCTGAGAATCTATGCTTCAGGCTTTGATAAAGAAATTGAGTAATTACTGAAATGAGTCAAGTGCTGACAAATTGCTGAAAAGTTAAGTGATTAGCTGATGAGGGCTTACCACTTAATAGGGGCCTATTTGCCAGAGCATTACGAACAACTATTACTAATTCAAATCTAGTGCATGGCCAATGATAATTGGAAACAAAACATTATTGTTATTATGGAACAAACAAATTATGGAACAATCTAAAAAATCTAATAAATAGGCATTACGAAAGTATTTGGCCTAATTGTGGAAAATCTGTGGAAATAATAGCAAATTGGTTTTATTCCAATTCCACCGAGACAAGTGAAAAGTGGAAATATTTAAAATAAAAAATATAAGCACTTTGAAAAGGCAATTTGAAGGCGTTTGGGTATATTGGTTGTTATTTAAAAAAAAAGCGAATTGGAATTTGAAATTTCACCCGCAAAAGTGAAAAATACGTGAAAAAATACAACAAAAAAAACACTTTAAATAAGCTTCACGGCAATTTCGTGGCAATATACAAAAAATATGTTATTATTAAAAAAAATAAAGAATATTTAGAATAATTTTACCCGCAAGAATGGAAAATAAGCGGATACAATTAAAATAAACCGTCGGCTGCTGCGTTAATTGTAGATTAAGCTATATTATTATTTACAGCTAAGATGCTTCCAACTGATAATAAGAATTCAGCTCAGCTGCAGTGTCTTCCAACTCTTAATAAATAAAACTCAAAAAATAAATTTAGCAAGCATGAAAGTTAATAAAATCTAATCGTGGTGACAATCAGCAGATTTGAAATTTAATTTAGTCAGCTGCCAAGCGGCAGCTGTTTGTGACGACTGCCTCGAAGCGACAGAATTTGTAATAAAGCAATTCGCAAGTGCAACACTCGCATACGGCAATTCAGCAAAATTGTTGCACCAGACCTTGCCACAAATCAACAAAAAAAGAAAGAGCTGAGCCCCCTCTGACTGAATGGCAAAGACGGGCACCTGCCGGGCGTGGACACGGGACACGGGACACGGGACACGGGACACGGGACATGACAAACTGCCGCCACTTGCGAGCCAAATGGCATGGCAAATGAAAAATGATGCCTAGCCGGGACGAAAAAATGCATTTGCCGAATGAGAGCCGTGCGCACGTGAAGTGGAATCACATATGCAGGCCAGCCCACCACGCCCCGCCCCAACTCCTACTGGAAACGATTCCACGCCCCGCCCCGTCCCGAACTCCTAATGGAATTGAGCCCAACTCCGCCTGCCACCGAACAGTCAATATGTTGCAATATACTTAAATAGTTAGTCGGTCTGGCATGTATTATCATTATTTTTATGCCACATTAACGTAATTTTCATTACACTTTTTTTTCGCGCCAATAATTGCAAATTCTTGCATTAAGCGTTAGAAAGAGAGGGAAGGAGCGAGGGAGAGGGGGAGAGAGGGAGAGCTCTACAATTGCATGACATTTTTTATAAAATTCATGTGGGAATTGTTTTATTCTATTATACACTAGCAAAGGGTATGCTGGTTTTGTCATGAAATAAGAAATAGTTAAGTATCGCAGTTTTGTTAAGCTGCCAAAGGAAAATAAGATTAAGATTTTTATGAACAAACGCACAATTTGGTTGGCTAATAGCCTAATTCCACTATCAACATTTCTTACATTTTATGCGAATGTCAAGTATGTCGCCTGTACGTTTTCCCATAAGTAACCACATTTTTCACATTTGCAAAAAATTTTGGTATTTGCCCCGAGACATTCGTGTTTTTTGCGATGATTTATCGAATTTCGTATCCATGTTATGGAAGATATGAAAGTATGACATTTAAAAATGAGGCACTTAGGTAAATCAAATCAAACCGATTAGCTGTTTATATAAAGAAGCGGCACTTTTGCCATTCATATGTTACCGACAACTGACACTTGCTAATGGAATCGTAGAATGTGAAGATTGTAAATGTTGCAAATGCTGAGCGTAGTGGAATCAGAGAAAACACATGCTATATGCCTGTAAGGGTATTCAAAGTGCAGCAAGCCGCAAACATTTTTCTTTCTAGCTTTTATTTGATTTAATTTTTTCTTAAATTTAATGTTCATTAAATATTTGTGCGCAGATATCTGAGATTTAATTCTTTTTTGCTGATATTGCTGAAATGGAACTATGAAGTGTTGCTTTATTGTTGTGATTGTTGTGATTGTTGTTTTTGTTGTTGTTGTTGCACTTATTGTTGACTTTTTGCTGTTGTGCACTAATTGAAAACGGCAACAAGAATAAATAATTGTGTACGTGTATTTTGCCCGTAGTATTTGCCCTGGGCAAATGGTTGCATATGCTGATAAGCACGAAATCACAACTGATAAAAAACATATAAGATACAATAATAGTTGGCATATACACAGTGCATTTCAAACTGTAAATGAAACTAGCTCAACGGAGCGTGGCGATTGATTAACATTAACCGTTAGCTTTGATTTAATTAAACTTTTTTCGTGCTGTGCTTTTTTTAATGATTTTTAACAACATTTTGTTGCTGTATTATTATTTTTTGCGACCATCGGCAAGATTTGCCTTTCTGCCGCTTCTGAGGTTTCTTTCTGCGCAAAAAGCAGGTTTTCCATTTGGCCTTTGGCATAAGCCAACGCCAAAGCCAAAGCCGGCCCAGAAAACCGCTCGAACGCCCGGCAAAACCGCACAAAAGTCGCTCTGACGGCCGCACGAGAAACGTATAGAAAAAAAAAACAACAACTACTGTATAAAACAAGTAGGAAGGCTGCCGTGGGGCATACACGACTCAGAAGTACGGTTAATGCTTTTTTTTATATATTATTATTATTATTATTATATTATTTATATATTTAAGTTATAATCTTTTAGCTGGGAATATTTAAAGCACTTGGCGACCGATTAGTTCGACACAACATTTTTCCTCTGAGATTCGAACTGGGAACCCGCCGAAATTTTTCTCTAAGAACTCTTGCCCTTGAGATATTATAGAACTCATATATGGAATATGAAATTCTTCACTTTGAGTAAGTTTTTATTATTGCTAAGAAAAACATCAAAAGAACATCATTAAATTTGGACGATTTGGACCAACAATTTGAAGATCAAATATAATTTTCATAAATATTTTGAACGGAAATCTAGTTTTCACAAATTAGAATTTGTTGAGAAGCGACGCGTTCTTCTTTACGAGTGACCACTGTATCGTCTGGTTAATTTCTTTCTTTACTGCAGTTTTACATATTCGTAGCACAGTCGAGTATACCCTGCTGCCACTTGACTGCAGGGTACAATGCAAACAATCGCATTATATACCAAATATATAGGTTTTTTGTTGTTTCTTTTGTTTATTGTTTGTGTTACTTTTTTTTAATGCTCTGCGTGTAAAATCAATAAATGCGAGCGGGTTCAGAGGTGATGACAACGTCGAAATGTTTCTGACCTTCATCAAAGCCTTTGCTCGCACTTTGGCGACCTTCTGCACAGCGAACGGCTCCCGTTCCGCCTCCGCCTCCGCCTTCCCCTCTCGCCCACAGTCAATTCAATTAAAATGCATGTGTTTGTGCGTATTTCTTAACTTATTTTGCACGCAAAAATACTTAATTGTTGTTGCTGCCGGTTTTTTTTTTTTGGCTTTTTGGCTTTTGTGCTGCCGGTTTTTGATTTGTGCGAATTCCGTTTGGCCTTTTTTTATGCTTCTTTTGCGGCTGATTCTCGATCATTATTTTGTCTCAACCCATTTGTTGCTTCTTCTTCTTCTTTTGCGAATATTTTGCTGGCTAATACAATGTTTCAGTTGTTGGGCTTAATTAATCAACATTTGAGGCTATTAAATTTCACACTCGACCCAAGAAAGTTACGTCAGAAGTTGCAGATGTTTCCGACTAATTGATATTAGGTAACAAAGCGAACCCTAACGAAATGTAGTCGGCAAATTTTAAGTTCTAATCTGAGTTACACTAATCAACAGGAGAGAGAAAGACAAGGCCAATTTCTGTGTTGTAGCGATGAGGGTTTTTAATTACTCTCTCTCTTTCTCTCTCTCTCTCTCCCTGTATTACTCATCTCTCTTCGGCTATTGATCTCGCTCGCTCGCTCATTCTCTCTCTATCTCACTCTTTGTTACTCGTTCTCTCTCTGTTACTCGTTCTCTCTCTCTCCGTTTCTTGTTCTTTTTCTTTTTCACTCTCTCTCTGTTAGTCGTTGTCTCGCTCTCTTTCTGTCTCAGTTTCTCATTCTCTCTCCGACTATTGCCCTCTCCCTCTCTTACTCGTTCTTTCCCTGTCTTACTTCGTCTCTCTCTCTCTCTCTACTACTCGTTCTCTCGCTCCCCATGTCTCTATCTCTGATCTTTTGCATATGTTAAGTTCTTTGCAAGTTCTATCACTCACTAAGTCTTTCTCACTTCTCAAATTTCTCTCTCTTTCATTTCATTTTAATATGTACATACATATATCTTCCTTTCTCTCTCGCTCTCTCTCGTTCTCTTCCATTCTTCATCAATTGCTCTCTCTATCTTTAATACACTCAACCACACTCGCGCCTCCCACTCATTCACACTCATATAACTAACATCAAAATCTTTCAGCCTCATTTGAATTCATGAAAATCACATAGAAAAGCGCTAATTAAATGCGAGGCAGATGGAGCAAAATATTTCTGCATTCTGCTCAAACCACAGTTTTGCAGTCACTGGCTAGCAAAACTGTGCCGCACTCGCCTTGAACTTTAAGGCGAAGTCAACGACGCGAATTGCAACGTTTCGCTGGCAGTTTTCTGCTTTGTGGGTCACCAAATATAACAGTATATAAGAAAATTTTGGTAACTGGGGCCTGACTTACCATCTTTAGCATTTGTCGTCGTTGTTGTTGTTGTTGTGGCCATTGTTGGTGTTGTGCTGGCAGAGGACGCCGACGCCGATGCGGACGCAGACGCTGCTGCTGCGGCGCTGAAGAATGTTGTTGTATCCGCAGCAGCTGAGAGGCTACGCGAGCAGTGCATTAGTCACGTTTCTTATTGCTGCTGTTGTTGTTGTAGTTATAATTGTTGCTATTGTTGCAATTGTTGTTGTTGTTGTTGCTGTTGTTGTCGTCGCAGACAGCGACGAACTTGAACCCACAGCCGTTGCCGTTGCGTCGCGCTGATAAGAACTTGTCGCGAAAACGCTTGACAATAACCGTTGGCGACGCACACACACATGCATCAATAAACAACAAGAAGCGCGCGCGAGTGCGATTGTGTGTGTGTAAGTGTAAGAGCGAGAACAGGAAACAAAATGCACGGGACGACGCGCACTAAAAACGCAAACAAAGGCAAACAACAACACGCAAGCAGATAATAATTTCTTTTACGGTTTTTCCTTATTTTGTTATTTCATTTTAATGGTTTATTCGTTGAAGCAGAAAAGCCGAAAAGAAAACACACAAACACATGCAACGCCAATTGGTCCAACGATTGATTACAACAAACGCATTTAATTGATTATTTGTATTTCATATTTTTTTTTATATTTTTAACATTTACAAAATTAACAGCAGCGGCGACTGCGACGCGTACCGCGACGGCGACTGCGACGTCAAGTGCTTCCGATCCCGTTGATTGCAAGCCCAATGCTTTTGTTGTTGCTGCTGTCACACGCACGCACTCGACACACACACACGCGCGCACACAAACATAAACACACGCACACGTTTACTGGCAGCTAGCACATGAACAACAGTTGTTGTTGTTGCTTTTATTATTGTTGTTGTCGGTGCGGGTGATTTTAGGCAACCGCATTTAGTTTTAATTTTATTAACCGATTTTTGTTTTATAAGCGCCGAATTAGTTATTGTTATTATTGGCACTTTAGTTGCTTGCTTGCTGCGCTTTGCTGCGCTCCGCTCACTTGATTCGGTCTTTTTGTTGTTGTTGCTCCTGCTGCTGCTGCTCTTGGTGTGGGCGCAAGCAGCGCCAGAGATTTTGTTGTTGCTGCTGCTGCTGTTGTCTGCGCGCACTTCACTTACGTGTTGGGTTTTAACACACGCGTCTTACGCACACATTTATTTACACGCTGCACATGGTTAATACACTTTATTTATTTATTTTACAATAATATTAATGCGAACGCGCGGCGTGAATACCTATCGATAGTTTTTGCAGCCTCTAACTAGAGAACGGGACGGGTGCCAACTGGCTGTTGTTTGGCCAGCGTGACTGCTATGTTAATGTTATGTTATGTAAATGTAAGCTGTTATGTTATGTTATGCATGCTGTTAAATATCGATATGCAGTTACGATATTTTTTGGGTGACCAATTATGTACATTTTTTTTGAAAATAATTTTGTAACTGTAGGGGTATTACCTTTTTTCTTGTTCTTCCATATTTTCATAATTCATCTGATGTATTGATTTGCTGTTACTACAGTCACAGCTGGATGCTGGATACAGTTTGATTTTTTCATGAGCAGTCGGCTACAGCATCTTTTTAACATTCCATTTTGAGTATAACAGTACGATGGATCTGTTGGTCAAGAAGAGATAAGACGCTGTTATTATCTGATTATATTATATTGTAACATACTAGTTTTTAAATCCTATTGCCCATATTAAAACATTTCATATACTACATCTCTTAGTTAAGTTTAAACATGTGAGCGCACTTGCAGCGCGCATATTTAACGCACTTGAAGTTGGCTGCGCGCTCAAGTCTATTGTGAATGTTTGTATTGTGTAGCTTTTGTCAGTTTGCTAACGTTAACGCAGCAAAGCTGGCTGCTACGGCTAACTTGCTGCCAGTGTCTGCTGTCAGTTAAATTTGAATTTGAAATTTTGCACCTGTTTCAAAAATGAGTGATCTAAAGTTAAATATAGGCATAACAATTGACACTTATTTGGTTGTTTTGAGCAATTTACGGCTAAAAGCGGCAGCTTTGGCAATTGCCTGCCAATTTGCATATTCTCAAAATTTGCCGAAACTCATTTTGCGCCACATTTCGACACTGTCCACAAAACAATCTACGCAAATTGTGCTCAATTTTGGCGGTGTTTATTTATATTTCTTTTTGCGCGCATATCTGACCTTGAGAAAAACAACAGAAATATGGCACAAATATTGCGACAACAACAAAATTCCAAGCCAAATTTTGTGACGAGATCTGTTGACGCCTTCTCGACATTGCCCATTTATTTGTGTGTGCTTTTGTTGTTGTTGGTTTTGTTGTTGTTGGGTTTATTGTTTATAATTCGAATATCGCACGATTGTCAAGTGAAAGTTGCCACCGTTTGCTCACGGGCCACGCCCACATGCTGATGCGTGTGTCTTGGGCGTAAAAAGTATGTGAGCAAGGTGTTAATTTCATTTGCCAATTATTTTACCTGGCTTTACTCGTTTTTATTTATTTTTTCTTCCCACCCAACACCTTTTTTTTATGCTAATACGTCCAGACGATGTCTGAAAATTGAATTGTGGGCCCGCAAGTTGTGTGATAACAAATTGTTATTGCATAATCGACGATATTGAACGATATTCGGAGCTGATCCACGAGCCCGAACACAATTAAAAGCGAGTAAAAGTGATCTAGTGGGGAGTGAACGACTGCGAGTTACCCTAACTCAGCGTCCAGTTGCCTTTCTAAATGGAGTCTAGCTTTAGTCTATGCTTCTTCTTCTCTTCTTCTTCTTGCCTCAGCTTCATCTTTTCGAAAGAAGCCTTCTTGGATAACTCTGTAGTTTTTGCTCTGATTTTTGTGAAATTTTCAGGTCTTAAAAATGGCTTAAAAATATGTGTGGATATCTAGGCACAAGTGTAGATCTTCCAGAATTCATTTTTTTTCAGTTTTGCGGGGAAAGTGCGTTGGGTACTCAAAAAGGGAACTATTTTTGATATGATATATGCACAATTTGTTATCTGTTTCCCCTAAAAGCATCCACATATGGCAAAAACACAGACTTTCTAAATAAATATTTATCTATTTCGTACAAGTTATCGATGAACGATATCTTACATCCCAAATTTGTTGTTTCTAGCGCTTAAAATCATTTAGATATGGCAAAGAAACAGAAGATCTAAATCGATATATATCGATATTTTTCGAGTTATCGATGCACTTGTGCATTAGTATCATCTTTATTGATCTGTGCATGCTCTAAGATATGTTACATACAAAATTTGTTGCCTCAACCACTTCAAAGCATCCAGATATGGCAACTAAACCTAAAGTCTAAATCGATTTTTATCGAAATTTTACGCGTAATCGATTAATTTGTGCACTAGCATCATTTTTCTCGATCTATGCACGCTCTAAGCCCAAATTTGTTGTTTCTAGCGCTTAAAAGCATTCAGATATGGCAAAGAAACAGAAGATCTAAATCGATTTTTATCGATTTCGTGCGAGTTATCGATTAATACGTGAACTAGTAGCATCCACGTTCAAAATGTCAGGTCTGTGAGCATAAAGTCGAATACTTCTTGGCAGAAGTAGTAGTTCCCTGCTTTGTGTTACATACATAAGCACAAAAACATTATACCCTATGTTTTTGGATTTTGGCCATTTTCAGTGGGGCCTCAATAAAGCCAAAGCCGAAAGCAAACATAAAACCAAACTTGATGACTATTGCAAATAAAAAGACAAATAAAAAATGAAAAAAAAGACAACATAAAACACTTGAGTGTCGAACTTGTTCTGCTTGTCGCGGAAATCAATTAAGAGACGAACCAACAAACCAACGAACCAACAAACCAACAAACCAGCAACAAGCTGCAACAACAACAACAACAACAAGCAACTGCAACAACAACAACTCTATAAAAAATCAAAGTCGATGCCAAAAGCCAAAGTCAATGTCCTTTTGCAGGCAAACAGCTCGCTAGCTCTTCAGCTCTTCAGCTCCGCTCCTCTCCTCTCCGGCTCCTCGTCCCGCCCGGCCTGTTTGCTTTAAAGGGCCACAGCGAAACGGGTTCCAGCTCGGGCTGTCCAATTGCGTCCAGTTGCCGTGGCCAATTGTTGTGGACTGCAATTTGGTCAAGTTCAGCTCAGTTTTTCCTGCCTCGGAAAATCGCCGCAGTCACAGTCAAAACATATTTTCCTTTTCATTTTCTTGCAGGCAAACCCCTTCCTCCTTGCCAACCCCCCCCCCCCCTTCCCCTCAAACAAGCCCGCTTTGACCCATTTAACTACATTTTCTAATGCGGCTCATTTGCATAATTTATGAGTGGGCGTGGCATTGACTAAGTTGCATTCGGTGTCGCATTTAGAAATCAAATTGATTTGACTCGAAGAAATGGGTATAAATTTTGGGTGAAAACGTGGCTGGGCTTAATGCAGGGCCTGATTTACAATCTGCATCCGAATCCCAATCAGAATCCGTAATGGCCATCTACAGTCGCCGCATCGAAAACTAATTGGCTCTAAAAATAGCCGCACTTCGAGCTGGTTTCTTTGGCCACAAAAGCACAAAAACTTGTTTCTGCGACGCAATCAAAGAACCCAAAAGACCATCCCAAAGACTTTCTTGTACGATGTGTCTGCCACAGCTTCTTCTTCTTCTGCTGCTGCTGCTGCTGCTGCTGCGGCTGGCCACAGAAGGAATGAGAGTGAAAAACCCGCGCGTGTGGAGGCGGGGCGAGCTGCTGGCGGTGCTTGGGGCTGGAAAATATGTTCAGATCTCGTGTCGTTCGTTGGATCGATAAAAAGCATTAAAACCAGTTGCATAGTGGGGCAAAATGCAGCTTTGGCCAGGCCCAGAACAAGGCAGAGACAATGTTGGCGACTCTTGTAAAACTAAGCGACAACGCATCGTTAATGCACAGAACAAGAAGAAGACGCTTGACTTTGGCGTGCCGCACATCAAATACCCTAATAATCCTTTTTCATTCGACTAAGCGAGAAGAACCACTTATCAAAAGTAAAGAAATTATCATTAGATTAAATTAACTATTAGTTTAAATTGAATTGATTGTAATTATTCAAAATTAAATGAATATTGCCCGGGCTTGCTCGTGAAAAGTTTTGTGCTACAAATTTTAGACATTAGATTTCCACGACCGTGCAAAATTGAAAATCGAAATCCATCTTGATCTCATCTTCTATAAAAATGTGTATAAAGTTCATCGAATAAGGAGCCAAAAGTGGTAATCAACGGCTTCCGCCCATATTAGTCTAGGGTCAGAATCTTAACACTTTTAAAAACCCATCAAAAAAATGCCTTAAAAGATCTCTGAACATGATTTTGAAACCGATAATAAACAATAAAAGTAGCAAAATTCCCGTCAAATTTTCACAGTTGTGGGTGGAATTTAAACAATTGATAAAATAAATCGGACAAAACTTAAAACTTAGCCCAAAAAATCTTTGAATCAGATTTTCCACTGAGGAAGCTTGGATTCTGCGGAAAGTGTGAAACACGTTTCAAATGATTTTTCGAAGGAATGAATTTTTCGAAAAGTGCGAAACACACATAATTAAAATATTTTTTGGGTTGATATGTTTAAATTAAAGAACGGATTGCAAACTATTTTGAAAGCATATAAACGAAATTCGAAATCTTATTAAATTAATTATTTCTATCATCTTGTTTTGAGCCATAAGCTTTTTTCTTTTTAACTTACATTATTAACTTATATAATTTAATTTAAGTTAACCTGCAAGCTTTTAGCATTGGTTAATAATCAAATAAATATTGAAATTGATTGTTTTTTCTATAATTATAAATATATCATATATTTATTAACTATTAAACTTAATTTAAAGTATCACAGTCCACTATAAACCGCGGCCAAGACAAATGATATATGAATACCCTCGACTACCCTGTCTTTCTGAGCTATAATTTAATTCCCACTGTGTATATCAAATTAATGATCTCTAATTTTAGCCACATTGAGGCTCTGGCTGCCTCTGAAAGCCATTGCAAAGTCCAATCGATCTATTAATTAACTTCAACTCGCTGCACTCTCTGCTAGAAAAAGGCAAGAAAAAATAGTTAACCTTGATCAGTTTAATGTGCAGAACATGATGCTAGAATATGTTCAAGCCAGACAAGTGTGCATCGCCTCCCCCTCCGCCGCCTCCTCCTCCCCAACAAGTACAAGACTCCTTAGAATTGGCCAATTATGCAGAAGGGCCGAGCGACTGCAACTGCAGTCCTCACCTTCGCCTGCTGCTGCAGTTCAGTTCAATGACATTTGGCAGAAGAATTGGCCAAGACTGTGGCCGGGCGGCGTCTATAGAGCGCTGTCTTCTTGCTGCCTCTCCGCGCGCAGTCGCAGTCGCTGCCGCTGTCGACGCAGCTGCCGGCGTCGAGTGTCTGCGAGCCGAGTGTATAAATGCGCCGAGGCTAAAGAAATTTCAAACAGTTGTGGCCGTGAGGCGTAGAGCTCAGCAGTTTGTGTGAATCGTTTGTCGCGAGCCGAAAGCAGAAAGAAAAAGTAAAACCTAAAATGAAGCCAATTGTTTTGGTGCTACTCTGCCTGGCTCTGGGCAGCCAGGGACGTGTGCTGCAGCCGTCCAAGGAGGCGCTCGATATACCCGTTGCCATCATCAAAGAGCCAGAGCCGCAGGCCCTGCCGCTGATCAAGGCGGAGCAGGAGCAGCCCATCAAGGCGGAGCAGGAGCAGCCCATCAAGGCGGAGAAGGAGACGCAGACTCAGGCGCAGATCGTGCCGGAGACGCAGACAGAAACGCAGGCGGAGACCAAGACCCAGTTGCCCGAGCAGCTGCAGCCCGAACTAGCCAAAGCTGAGGAAGCTAAGCCAGAGCTGGAGCCGCAGCCGAAGCTGGAGTCCAAGCCGGAGCTTGATTCGAAGCCGGAGCTTGATTCGAAGCCGGAGCTGGAGCCGCAGCCGGAGCTGGAGTTGAAGCCGGAACCTGAGCTGAAGACTGACCTGAAGACTGAGCTGCCCCAAATTGCCGAGGAGTCGCAGTCGCAGTCGCAGTCGGAGGCGGAGCCAGCACAGCCCATTCTGAAGTCCCTGCCCGCCGAGGCAGTTGTTGAGGCAAACGCAGAGCTGGCCGCGACCGTGGCAGACGCTGTGCCCGTCGAGCCGCAGGCGGCGGAGCAGGATGCAGTGCAGCCGCATGTGCGCCAGGCCACGCAGGCGACGCCCACGCAGCAGAGCTCAACGCAGCAGAACTTTGTGCAGCAGCTGATACAAAACTCACCCATTGGCCAGTTCCTCAACCAGTTCAACGGACAGCAGCAGCAGTCATCGCAGCAGGTCCAAGCGGATCAGACAGCGACGCCGGCGCCGACTGTGCCCGGTTTCTTGAATCCCGGCGCTGCCATCACCTCGGCTCAGAATGCGGTGCAGAATGCGGCACAGACTGTGGTGAATAGCACCACGCAGGCATTCCAGGGCATACAGCAGTTCGCCAGCAATCTGGGCACCCAGTTCCAGAACACGCTCTCCGGCCTGACGGGCCAGCAAAACGCACAGCCGACCACAGCACGTCCGCCCGGACCGATTCAGTCGTTTGTGAACAATGTTTTTGGAGGTAACAACAATGCAACAGCGGCTGCTGCGGCACCAGCTCAGGGACAACAACCGGGCGGCGGACCGCTGCAGGGCATCATCAATTTCCTGGGCGGCAATCGGCCACAGAATGCACCGGCGGCTGCAGCTTCGGCTGTCACCGAGGCGCCCATCAAGCAGCCCGGCGTCGATGATAAGCTGGAGCAGGCCGCCGATGTGGACGAGCAGCCAGCCGAATCGGAGAACGAGGTGCGCAACAGCGGCGAGGCCATCGACGACTCCTTCGAGGAGGCGGTGCCCGCCAACGAGGTGATTGTGGTCAACGATGATGCCTCCGCCGATGTGGCAGCCACCAGCAACAATTCGGTTGAACAGCAGCCCGAGCAGCAGCCCGAGCAGCAGCCCGAGCAGCAGCCCGCTGATGCAGTTGCTCTCTAAATCCACACACACATTCACACACTCACACACACAATTTTGCATCTCCATCTGCCCAAAAGGCAGACGCAGAGAAGTCGCATTGACTGAAGCCATTTTATCGCCATTTTTCGACACACACACACACCCGCAGAAGAGAAAGAAGGAGAAAGTTCGGAAGAGAATGAGAGAAAAGCAAGCGAAATACTTTCCATAGTTGTTTAAGTGCATGCAACAAATTATTTATTTCATTTTCGCAGGAATTTATTTTTAAATAAAAACAAAACACAAAATATATTAAATAAATATCATAAATTTGCGTTTTTTTCTTATTTATTCCTTTCCCCCTTTTTTCTAGGGTTTTCAACATTCTTCTTGGACAAAATGCATGTGTAAATTGTACCCTCAAATATCCTATATAGACATAGGTCGATATTTCCCAACCCCATAACTCGGTTAAATCTCATCCGATTTTCCCGAGATTTGGGTGTTTCTTCATGGTTTTGCCTCTTGTTTAATTTGGCATTTAAATCTGGCAACATATTTTTTAGTCGAAATTCATGTCAAAATATGTCACCCTAAAATCGAATATAGACATGGGTCTAAATTTCCCCTTCTTATAACTCGGCTAAAACTCAACCGATTTTCACGAAAATTGCATTTTTCTTCATGGTTTTGTCTCTAGTTTAATTTGGCATTTAAATCTGGCAACATATTTTTTAGTCGAAATTCATGTCAAAATATGTCACCCTAAAATCGAATATAGACATGGGTCTAAATTTCCCCTTCTTATAACTCGGCTAAAACTCAACCGATTTTCACGAAAATTGCATTTTTCTTCATGGTTTTGTCTCTAGTTTAATTTGGCATTTAAATCTGGCAACATATTTTTTAGTCGAAATTCATGTCAAAATATGTCACCCTAAAATCGAATATAGACATGGGTCTAAATTTCCCCCTCTTATAACTCGGCCAAAACTCAACCGATTTTCATGAAATTTGGATATTTCTCCATGGTTTTCCCCGTAGTTTAATTTGGCATTTAAATCTGGCAACATATTTTTTAGTCGAAATTCATGTCAAAATATGTCACCCTAAAATCGAATATAGACATGGGTCTAAATTTCCCCCTCTTATAACTCGGCTAAAACTTAACCGATTTTCACGAAAATTGCATTTTTCTTCATGGTTTTGTCTCTAGTTTAATTTGGCATTTAAATCAGGCAACATATTTTTTAGTCGAAATTCATGTCAAAATATGTCACCCTAAAATCGAATATAGACATGGGTCTAAATTTCCCCCTCTTATAACTCGGACAAAACTCATCAGATTATCACGAACTTTGGATTTTTCTGCATGGTTTTCCCCGTAGTTTAATTTGGCATTAAAATCTGGCAACATATTTTTTAGTCGAAATTCATGTCAAAATATGTCACCCTAAAATCGAATATAGACATGGGTCTAAATTTCCCCCTCTTATAACTCGGCCAAAACTCAACCGATTTTCATGAAATTTGGATATTTCTCCATGGTTTTCCCCGTAGTTTAATTTGGCATTTAAATCTGGCAACATATTTTTTAGTCGGAATTCATGTCAAAATATGTCACCCTAAAATCGAATATACCCATGGGTCTAAATTTCCCCCTCTTATAGCTCGGACAAAACTCATCAGATTATCACGAACTTTGGATTTTTCTGCATGGTTTTCCCCGTAGTTTAATTTGGCATTAAAATCTGGCAACATATTTTTTAGTCGAATTTCATGTCAAAATATGTCACCCTAAAATCGAATATAGACATGGGTCTAAATTTCCCCTTCTTATAACTCGGCTAAAACTCAACCGATTTTCACGAAAATTGCATTTTTCTTCATGGTTTTGTCTCTAGTTTAATTTGGCATTTAAATCTGGCAACATATTTTTTAGTCGAAATTCATGTCAAAATATGTCACCCTAAAATCGAATATAGACATGGGTCTAAATTTCCCCCTCTTATAACTCGGCCAAAACTATTCCGATTTTCACGAAACTTGGATATTTCTTCATGGTTTTCCCCGTAGTTTAATTTGGCATTAAAATCTGGCAACATATTTTTTAGTCGAAATTCATGTCAAAATATGGCACCCTAAAATCGAAAAAAGACTTGGGTCTAAATTTCCCCTTCCCATAACTCAGCCAAAAATCAGTCGAAATTTCCCACCCCCACAACTCGGGCAAATCTCATCAGATTTTTACGAGGTTTGGCCCTTTGTTCATATTTTGGCCTCTATATCAATTTGGCATCTAAATCTGACAACATTATTTTTTGTAAAAATCCATGTGAAATCAAATATCATATATCCTGTATAGACATAGGTCAAAATTTCCCGTCCCCATAACTGGGTCAAATATCTTTCTCGAACGGACAACAGTCGCTGTCCGCCCAAGCGAATTTTCTCTGTATATATATATACATATATATTTTTCAATTCTGATGATGGTTTTTTCAACTTATCTTAAAAATAAGATGCTTAGACAATAGCAATCTTAGCTCAAGTCTACACATAGATTCTGAAAATTTTGCAAGAATTTGGAAAATTTCTCAGAAAATGCCGAGAACACATAAACAATTGGTACCTATGCCAAAGCAGCTGTGTTTCTTACAAGCGCTCTAATGAGATCTTAATGAGTTCGGCGAAATTAATTACAAAGGTCTCCCAATTTTCGACCTGTGAAGGATGCAGGCAAACGGGCTCGTAAAATAAATGTTATGTGAAACACAAATAAAGCAATAAATAATTAAATATTTAAGTATATATTTTGTATATAATGCTGATCAAATATTTATATATTATGTATCTTTCATTTAACCCTAAATAAATTACTTTCTGTAAACATTAAAGAAAAAAATTGTTTATTTTTTTTCAAAAATTATCTCATATTTATTTAATTTGTTTCGGTTTGTTTAGTTGTTGTTACACATTAAGGTGGTTCGATAGCTCAAAAATTGTTATATCAAACTAGGCGCAAAAATGTACACTCATATATAAGGCTAAAGGGGTCCGAGGGGGGAAGGGGGGGAGTTGTCTAATAAAAATCAGCAAAAAACCGCTTAAAACTAAGTATTTCAGTTTGGTTATTTGCGGGGAGAGGAAAAACTTATGTCCAAATATTTATGCTAAATTGTATTTCTTTTGCTTTTGCTTTTGTTGAAATTCCATTTCATTTTAAATATATATATTTGGTTTTTTTTTTGCTGTTGCTAATAATCGTAATTTTACACGTAGGCTGCCTTTATAAAGTTCTTTGAGCTCGAAAATTTGTTGAAATAATTCTACTTAAATTTAAATGCGTAGCTTAATGAGGTGACTGTAGACAGGCAGATGCCAGGGAGCAGGGGAAATGGAGGGGGTGGGGGGGGGGGGGTGTGAGACGGGGGCGAGGCAGTGTTCTAGTGCTAACAAAAAGCACGCCGAGTTGTGCCTTTTTCTTTTTTAATGTGGAACTACGAAATATGCGACTGGGTTTTATTAGATTTCTTCTTTTTTCCTTTGTTTTGAGCAGCGAATTGAATGAGTACAAGTCGAGGATAGCAAAGAGTAGAATTGAGTAGTTTGTGTGTTAGTTGTGTGTTTTTTTTCGAGTAGTTCATGATTTGTTCGTGGGTTCTGAATATGTTTGTTTTGATTGTGTTTTGTTTGCTTAATTCCTTTTTCGAAGAACATGTTGCAAGTCTTTGTTTGGTTTTTGATTGAAGAACTGAGCTGCATCGGTTTAGAGTTAAATATAGCATAAAGTTAGGTTACACTGAACAAAACTATGTGGCATAATTTGTTCAGCTAGCCAGTTCGAAGATGTTTATTTAGTAGTAATAGGTTTTTGTTTGTTTTATATGAGAGAATTGTGTCTAATTAAACGTTTAGAAATAGGCCAAACATAACAGTATTAAAGCATTTTTCATATAGCATTTCGCTCAGTGTATACATGTTAGTCATATATATATATATAATATATATGTAGATATATATGGAGTTATATGCATGTATTTGTATGTTATGTATGTATGTATTATGCTTGTAAATAGACGAGTAAATAGGCATTTAATTTTGATTTTTAAATATGGGAGGGATTATGCGTGTATATAGAAAATGTTTCGGTAGATAATTTGAAGCCATTCAAAGTAGTTTGTTGTGGGTCGGATATACGAGTGTGTACGTGTGTGTGTGTGTGTGTGTATGAATATGCTTTCGATGCGGTATATATGTGTAAATATATGTTTGTGTGTGTGTGTGTTTCATATGTCTGTTCAGATACGTTTATATATATATATATATTGCAATGATAGTTAGCTCAAGATTACATTCAGTTTTTCCTCTATATATATATATATAGATCGTGTGTAGATCGAGAGTATATAGGCTGTGTGTTATGAAGGTCATCTAATGGGCAGGAATGAGTACAGTTGCTGCAAATTTTTACTAAGAAGGTACAGTACACTTGTATATAGGTTAATTATAGAGCGGCTGCTATATCGTAGAAGCTTAAACATTAGGCAGGTTCTTGGCGGATTTTCGATTTCAAATATTGCGAACTTAATATAGAACTCTCGAATAGGTTTTTCGTATGCCTCGGTTTTCTTTGGTCGCATTTTATAAAAATAAAAATTCATTCTTTTTTTCTTGGTTTTTCTTGGATTTTCTTGGTTTCTCGCTAATAACAAATATTGCACAATTGGAATCTAGAAAATATAATGGCGCTTATCAAATACATATCAATCGATTTAGCATTATATCGTTATAGCCTAGGCAGATATATGTATATATATAGAGTTGTATATTAAATGGATTGATTAACATGCAGACACCAAAAGGTAATGCGAAAAATTGAATATCATATGGAATAATCATATGCTTTTAAATTTATATATATATATATATATTTATATATAGGTCGGAACAGCGTGGCGTTGGGCGTGAGAGATGAGAGAAAGTCGAGAAAGGAAGACAAACATTTGGGGCTTAAGCGTGAAATTGTTGTTAAATGTTAAATGTAGAAAGCAAGCTCTAAAGTTTAGTTTGTACAGTTTATACAGCAGAAGGAAGACTCGAGAAGGTTGTGTGAAATGCTACACTCAGAGAAAAAGCTGCTATGTTGAAGTACAAATCTTAAAGCACAAATAATCTACAATGTAAATATTAAAAAAATTAAAATAAAAGCAAAGGAGGACGTCCATATACTATAGTAGACTATGTGGCTTGGAAGCGCTTATATGTGAAGGCTCTATGTCTATCCGATTGTTCCTATACGAGCTATATTATATAGTCATTTGTCGATTTGTTCTCAGATATGTTCGTAGAAGAGTGAAGCTCGTAATTGCTGAGTTTGGTCAACATATTATGAAAAACAGACTGGTTTTCCATACGAAAATCAAGTTTTCGTCCGATTCTTCCTACAAGAGCTATATGATAAAGTAGTCCCAAAACCGTATGTATTGTTTTGTCGAAATGTCAAGTTTGACAAGAGAAAATCTCATGTTTAATGCAAAAACTTAGTTTCGATCGATTATTTATATGCTATTCTATATAGTGGCCCGATCGGGGCGATTAAAGAAACAGAAAACGGATCTTTAATAGCTTAAAAACTGAGGAAATAGTTTGCAGAGAAACAGACAAACAAGCTTGGCTACGGACTCAGGATATGCATTACATATTTTGTGACACAATTAGAATACCCTAGACAAGGGCATTACTATGCTTGATTTAAGTATAAAATTTACCTGTTACAAGAATTTACATCCTTAAAATGCACACAGCTTTTTAGTTTAGGTTTTGCGTCTTATGTTTGGAAATATTAGAATATACAAAAGAAAAACCAGACAAATAAAAAAATTAAAGTACCAATTTTTTAAATTTGCTTACTAGAAGAATTTACATACTTTAAAAAAGCGGAAAACGATGACAATGCAAGCGCAAAGCTTCTTTCATTAAGATTTGAGTTTGGGAATTTCAAAATTTAAAGAAACAAAATATTTGCCAACGTTTATTCTTGATTTCAGTATTGAATACTAGATGTTTTTCTCTGAGTGTATGAACTTAGGTGTGTTTGTAATATTCCAACGCCATGATGCCCATATAGCTGCATTATAAGCGCAACTCTGAAGCCGCTCAGCTTAGACGTAGTTTAAAGTATAACACATAGGTATATATATATATATATATATATGTTATGTATATATATATATCGTACATTTACTAGCATATGGTACTTATTAACTTAAACATTCTTATAAGCATTGCTCCTGGTTAGTATCTGGCGCTAAACTAGAATACAGTTTGGTTGATGCTTCGCTCCCGTGCCGCCTGCTCCCTACGCTTATAAATTCGTTTCAGTTCTGTGCGGCGCCAGGACACTGGGCGTGGCTGCCACGGCGCCACCAGGCGTGGCCATGCGCACCCGCTCACCGACGCCGGGTCCCAGGAGACGCGTGTGCCGCAGCAGACGTGGCGCAGTCGAGCCGGCCGCACCTGGCGCAGCTGCCTCGGCGCGCATGGACCATTCGTTCTGCTTGAGCAGAAACTGCTTCACATTGTACTCCATCTGGGCGATGTCCACGTGCTGTGTGGTCGTGTGCAGCTCGGCCTGCACGGAGCGCGTCTTGTCCGTATCATTGGGATAGTATTTATAGTTGAGTATATCACACGTGGGCTGTTCGGGACACAGCAGCGACGGCGACCCGGCCGAGGAGCAGCCCTGCGAATCAGCTGCTGTTGCTGAAACTGCCGTCATGGTCGTCGTGGTCGTGGTATATGCCACGGGCAGGCCGGAACGCGTGGTGCGTCTGTAGTAGGTGGTGCAGAGCTCTGCCTTTTTGGTCACCACCACAGCGGCAGACACGGCGCCCGGCTGGCTGTTGGACATGGCTGCCTCTGGCAGCGAATTGCTGGTGATGTCCGTCTTCGGCGAGAGCGAATCCTCCGTGGATTTGCCCGCATCCGCATAGCCATTGGTCAGCTGCTGTGGCGTTGTCTTATAGCCCGAGTCCATGCTTAGCTTCTCTATCGATATGGAGTCCATGCGATCCAGCGTCGAGTAGGATGATTGGCGTTCCGTGCCCGAATTGGAGTCCGTGGGCAGAGCCGGCTGCTGCAGCGCACGCTGCTCCAGCTGCTGGGTATTGTGCTGAACCCACTCGGCGACACGATTCAGCTGCTGGCGACGCAGCAGCACGCTCTCCTGATAGTCAATGGCATCGCTCAGCGAGCTCGAGTTGGCCGAGTGCTTGGGTGAGCAGGCGGCGGCAACAGCAGCCGCCGCAGTTATTACACCTGCGCCAGTTGGAACACCTGATGCAGCGACTCCTTCCGTTGTTCCCGCCACCGTTCCCGCCGCCACCGACGGAACCGCCGTGGCCATATTGCTGCTGTCCAACTGGACGCTCTTTTCAGTCTCTTTTAGCTCCACCTGCGGCTCCAGCACCGGCTGCAGTGCCACATTCTCGTGCGGCATAGCCGAGGCCTGCCACACTTCGACCGCAGCCGTCGCATTGCTCTCCTTGGACGTGATAATGTCCTTGCCGTCGTTCAGCTCCTCGTCAAGGAGTCGTTCGCGCCGCTTGTAGATGACCGGCACATGCGTCTCGATCGACTCCAGATTGTCCAGCAATATGTTGCTCTGGCCATTCTGCTGTATGCGCATGGCACACAGACGTGGACCGCGATATTTGGGATTTTCCGCCTAAATAAAATGGGAATAGTATGTTCATGAATATGTTTGGAAATATTTAAGATGATGATGATCATGATGATGATATGATATGATGTACTATCTGTTATTTTCCGGCCTTGCCCAGTCAATTTTCCATCCATTTCCCTTCCGTGAAAATTTAAATCTATCCGTGCTATCTTAAACTTCATGTCTTAAGTTATATTTTCCCGGCTTTGCTTAGTCAATTTTCCATCCATTTCCCGCCCGTGAAATTTTAAATCTATCCGTTCTCTTCCTTGTATTTCCAGGCTTTCCTTTTTATCGCTTTTCCATCCATTTCCAGTCCGTGACAAATTAAAATCTATCCGTACTATCTTAAACTCCACGTCTTAAGTTATATTTTAGACTAACTGGTGTTTCCCGGCCATGGCCATTCCAAGTCTCCTTCTAATCTTCGACAGCGACTTTCCACCCATTTTCCGCCCGTTAGAAATTAAGATCAACTCGTACTATCTTAAGCTCCACGTCCTGAGTTATAGATTTAAGTTGAAGATATAATATCCAGAAGTTGGAAAGAACGTTTTCCGCCCACAATATAAAGATTGAAGCCGAAAATGTCCTATCCAAAAGGCGTGAAATTTGCGAAAAGTGTGAAACACGTTTCCAATAAATTTGTACAAAACTCATTGGAGATGAATCGGAAACCGATTGGTTGGGTAAAGAAGAAAGTTGACGTTTTCCGCCAATTTTTCACAGTTATGGGTGGAAAATCCAAAATCGATGAAACACCTGAAGTCTATATAAGAAAACTTTATGAAGTCTACATAACATAGCTTTGAAATGAAAATAAGTTTGAAGCTAAACACACGAATCTTAAAAATTTCACCCAGATAACTTTCGACCTACATTTTCCAGCGAGGAGTGGATTTTGCGGAAAGTATGAAACACGCCTCAACTAAATTTTGACTTAAATCTTGGAAAGTAAGTTTGAAGGCGAACATTAAGTCAGAAAGTCTTTGACGTCCATATCCAACAAAAATGTCAGTCAATTAGGCAGGACAAACAGCCTTATATATACAGTGAAAACTCTCCTAAAGGACGCTCCTATTAGAGAGAGACTGCTATTGGGCGGACCTTTCCACTAAAACCATTATGAATCTGGCCATAACCCTTCCCCTTCTATTAAGCGGATATTAATCGACGGCCATTGTCCGCCCAATAGAGTCTTCACTTTATAGATATATGTACAACAGCACCCGTCTAGCCCACCTTGATAGTCTTGATGAGATTTCTATTGAAGGTCTCAAACATTTTGGCGCCCTCGCAGCTGCTCGTCTTGTTGCTCCACAGGCTCTGAACGCTGCCCGAGTTATTCGACTTCAGAGGGCAGCTGGCAGAAGCAGCTGCGGCTCCAACTCCAGCTCCGGCTCCGACTACAGCTATTGGCTTGACGGGCTGCGGCTCACAGACATCCTCCGGCTTAGTGAGCTGCAGAACTGGCGGCTGCTCCGTCTCCAGCAGATTGGGCTGTGATATGCCCGCCAACAGCGGCTTACTGACCTCATCCTCCAGCTCCTCGGCTGATGCTGCAGTAGCAGCAGTCGTCGTCGCTGTTGCCTCGTATTTGTTGAGCAGCTGCAGCGCTGTGCCGCCGCCGTCCAAGAATCGCCGCTGATACGCAGCCGTGCCCTGACGCAGCTGTCCCAGATTGCTCGTCTCCAGCAGATACTTCTCGGCGCCCGCATAGGTGCCCAGATGTGTGGTCGGATACATGAGCGTGTTGCCGTTGGCCGGCAGAGCCGTGCGCTCGCACAGCCTGTGATGCCCCAGAATGGGATTAACCATCAGATCGTCCTTTTTGGGCAGCGTGAACAGCTTGTCCATGTCATTCAGATCCGAAACGGAGCTCTTCGTCTCCGAAATGACCGAATCACTCGACTTGACCAGCTTCATCAGATAGGGACTGTTGGTGCGCGACGGCGAGTTCAGATTGCTGTGGCAGCGCAGGCAGAGCTGGGCCAGCGGCTCGTTCAGCGTGCTGGCGCCGGCGGTTGCCAGCGAGTGGGGCGTCTGTGTGGCCACCGAATAGGAACGTGCGATGTCCGCCAGCACGGTCAGATCCTGTTTGCTGCACTGGCACGTATCGCAGTGCTTCACGTCGTTCAATTTCAGTTCATCCTCTAGAAACTTAGCCATAACTGTGGGTGAAATCATGTCTGGATCTGCATTGTTGTTGTTGTTGTTGTTAGTCTTGGGTTGACCGTTGAGCGTTTGGCTGGAGCTGTGCTTGTTGTTGTTGTTGCTAATGTTGTTATTGTTAATTGTATCCTTTGAGCTACTACCTCTGCTGTTGTTATTGTTGTTGTTGTTGTTGTTGTTGTTGTTCGCTGGCGCTGTTTGTGCATTCGCTGAGTTGCCATTGGCGGCGTCTGTTTATGGACCAGAAGGAAAACAATCAAATGAATGCACGTTCTTGGCCAAATATGTGTTTCGGTTAAGTGATGAGATTTTGGCAATATTTTGACTTTATGAATTTGGAAACTAAAGGGCCTTGCATCCCACGCATCCTCAAACTCTCCTCACTAATTCTTTCTATTCGCTTTTCTAAATGCTCATTGCTTTTGCTATTTATATTACTCTTCCCATCATTAATTCCATCCATTCCCTATTCATATTTATTTTTCTATTCCTAGTCTTATTCCCATTCCCATTCTTTTTCCTATTCCTATTCCTATTCCTATTCATATTCATATTCCTATTCCTATTCCTATTACTATTCCTATTACTTTTCCAATTCCGATTCCTGCTCCTATATCTATGCTTATTCCAATTCCTAGTCCTATTCTGTTCCCATTTATATTCCAACTATCATTCTTTTCCCTCTTCCTATCCAAATTTCCATTCCTTTCTTCATCGCCTTTTAAATCCATTCCCTATTTCCATGTCTTTTTTATTCCTATTTATATGTCTTCGCTTAAGCCTATTTATATTTCTATTCCTATCCCAGATCCTATTCTTATTGTTACTAATATTTTCATTCCCAGCCTTCTTCCAATGCCTTTTCATATTTATATTGCAATTCCTATTTCTGATTCTATTAATATTTGTCTAACTTCTGTCCCATTCATAGGAATAGCTTATACATATTCATATAGATAATCATATTGCTTTTCTTTTTTTTTAATATTATAGTATTTTAAATATTCCCATTTTATAAATAGTAAAAAATTTAACAAACATTTCATCTATATCCTTTTGTTTAGTGATTTAAATTGCAAACGATTTTTTATTCCCGCTGGCTATTTATTTTATTAGTTGCATATTTAGCCCCAAAAATGCAATCAATTCTTGAGCATTTCAATTACTTTTAGCCCAAATTCATAGCCAACATTATTGCCAAAACTATAGAATAAATATGAATTATGAACATTGATACACACATTTTATAAACACTCATCGAATGCAAATCAAACCGAACGCACAAATTGCGCAAATTATTTACAATAAATTTGAGCTGTAATTAAAACTATGTCAATAAACATAAATGAAATAATAAACAATTATATTGAACAATTTACACTAAACGCAATCAAGTATTTACAAGCAAAAATGTATAAAAACATATGAAAGTGCGCCAGTCGAGCGAGCCCGACTAGGAGATACCCTGTACCCAGCATCGAGCTACAGGCATAAACATTTCCTCTGTGAATATATATATATGTGATATATATGGTATGTATCAATACACATACGAAAACACACACACACATGTGGCACCCAAATATATGTTTATACCAAAGCCCAAGACTATACCACAAAAAATACTTTTGTTTTTCTTTAATTATGGCCGGACTTGGGTAGAAATTCAAAAAATTAAATATTCTTGATAAGTTTGTACTATATGAGAACCTACATACCAAGTTTGAGGCCTCTTGCTCTTAGAACTACAGCTGATAAACGAGTTACGCCAATGAGACAGAAGGCTGAAATCCATTTTTATCGATATTATGGCAACGGAGCAAGTTATTGATAATTTGAAAGGAAGTCAAACTTCGAGGACTAAGGTTTCAAATTTAAATTCTCTGAAAACGACTTGTTCAGACATACAGACAGACGACTATAGCTAGATCGGCTTTGCTGTTGATAGTTATCAAGATTTGAACAAAACCAACCTTTTTATAAGTTTTCAGTAAGTAAAGGGTATGAGCAAATTAATAAAAATAATAAACAAATGTAATGTGTGTACGTTGGGTATGTGTAAAATGTTTTAAATGATGATTGAGTAAACAAATTTAAAAATTTCATCCAACTTTGCGGTCCAAAAAGAAAAGGTTGCGACGGAAATAAATGGAGAGAAATCAAATTCAATTTACTAAGCAGAAAATAAATATATATATAAATAGATAAATAAAGTTAAATGAAGAGTTTAAGAAATAATAAAATCAAAATGGTCTACTAACACTTACCGAGGCCCCGCATTGAGTACACCATTGCGGTGGGCGGAAAGGGGCATGGCGCTGGCGGTGGTGAGTCCGAGACCGGAAGCACTTTATAGGAAGTTGTCGTTGCCACGCCCACACCACTATTGCTACACTCGGAATCCGAATGCGAATTGGTCTCCAGACGCATATAGGCGGACACCTTGGACTGTATGTCAATTGGCAGCTAAAAGATATTCAAGTTTCAAAAGAAAAATATGCTCAAAACTTTGGGTTAAAATCGCAACTGGAGCTGGGAACAATACTCACCGAGGACACCTTCTGGGGCACAAAGCTGTCCGGTTTGCATTGCAGCAATTGTATGGCAAGACTAATGTCGGCCTTGTAGCGCTCCTGAAAGACAGAGAGAGGGAGAGAGAGATGGAGAATGTGTGAGTGAAACAGCGTAGCAGACAATAAACTAAGATAAGAGCGTAACGGAAGTTGCGGCCTCATGTGTGTGCGTGTGTGTGTATGTGTGTGTGTGTTCCCCTTTTGACACTTTTCGTATGCAAATGTCAAATATGTTTGCCACCCTACATACTCTACACCCAACATACTCTACATCCTGCAGTTACCCCTCGCCCATGCCTAAACGTGTTCCCGGCCATTTTCCGTTCCTAACCAGTTCTCAGCTTCTTTGCACATTGTTAAACAAACTTTTTGCTGTTGTTTTTGTGTTTTGGTGTCAGCGACAGCTTCAAAAAGTTCTTTTATTCTCTTCCTCTCGCTCTCTCTCTCTCTTCCTCTTCAACTCCCCTTCTCGCTCTCTGTTTCTCCCTTTGTATTTGTGGCGCACACACGCCAAAGTTTAGATGGTTCTTAAATTTTACAAATGCGCTGCACTCGAACTTGTTAAACAACAGCAACTGCAGCTAACAGCAACCACAATTGCCAGTCAAATGACATTAGCGACAGTGTTGAACAACGATATACCACGCATTTGCTACATAACCTCACAAAGTAATTTTGAGTGCGGCAAATATTTGCAGTCTTGTTTGAAGACACATCTTACTTATTATATTTACAAGTGGCTCACATTCTCCCTCTAGCCACTGCTCATATTTAGGCGTTATGCAATACTTAACAGGGTATTACAGCAACGGCATCAGTCCGCTGCTTGGCTGACCTACATAACATTCGTAAATTTACAACAACAGCAACAACAAAAATGGCGCAAAGACAAAGAGCATCGAGCCATTTCGCACCGCGTTTACCAACACTTACACGCTACGTCACACTGCTATTTCGTGTTTCTTTCTTTTTGTTTCTCTTGTGTGTTCGGTTTCGGTTCGGTTTTCCCATGCATTTTCACGCCGCATAGCAGCGCAAAGCTGCAAAATGCCGCCGCTTGCATTTTATGCGCCTCATTTTTACTCCATTTTTCAGCCCCATCTTGTTTTTTTTTTTTGTCGTTTATCCTGGCATTTTTATTGTGTTTTTTGCGCTTGCTGCTCGCAGCGATTTCTGTAACATCGCACAAAAAATGGTACAAAAAAGTGCATGCGATGGCAACGAAATAAACTCCAGAACGGCATCGAGTCATTTGCAGCAATAGGGATGCCATGCCATATATATATATATCAATTTGGAGTGTATGGCAAATGACATTATATATATACATATATATATAGCGTGAGCTTAAAGGGCAGCCAAATTAGCTGCAATAATTGAAAGCTGATTGACAGCACACGATAGAGCAGATATTTTATGGATTGCCGGGGGTAGATTGAGATTTTAACAATTGAAATAAAATTTAATTGAATAACCAAGCGAATTGTTTGATTGCATTTTATTGATTGTGAATTTTATTTGCGATCCGTTATATATTATTAATGCGACAATAATTTATTCATGGTCCAATAAGCTGCGAAAGATATATTCAAAACAATATTCAATAATAAGCTATACGCGTAAAGAAATGTCCTATGCATTAAGCGCTTAAATGTTAACATACATTTTAGGCGGCAAAGGAAACATTTATTTATAGAGCTATTCATTGCTGTTATCTAAATAACATAATTATTAACAGCATAACATAAATATTAATAGCGCGCTGTAAGAAGATTTTGTATGTTAAACATCATGACTAAAAAAAACTCTCATAATGCAGTGACTGAAAATATAACAGCTCGCTTTTAGAATACTTGCACTGCTTTTTGACTGAAAAGTAGCTGTTACTTTAACATTAACATTAGTCAGCTTAACATTAATATAGCATTTTGCTATTGCAAGTCCCTGTCAGCATCTATGACAGAAGAGCTGTTTTTTAGTTTTATCAACACCTTGTTAATGTTATTTAAAACATGTTATGTACACCACTTTTGAATAATAGAACCCTGTTGCTTTAAAGTAAATAAATTCACAGATTACAAGGACGGCTCTGTTTTCAACTTCGCCGTCTTTGGAAGCCGCTGTTATCTTAGCGTTGCCAGCATTAAGGCTATTTATACAAATGTTATGTAAAGTTGCCTTAAGGAAAAGCTAACGCACGTAAGAACCTGTTGTTACTTTAATATTAGCAGCATTAAACCTATTTTAACAGCGCATAGCGAATGTTATTTACGAAATGTTATTTGAAATCGCTTTTATCGCAATTCTCTTGCTTTAAAATAACGAAACTCAGACATTATATGTGAGTAGCAGATGTTACTTTAACATTACCAGCATTACAACTGTTTTAACAGCGCAATGTTAATGTTATTAACAAAATGTTACCTGAAATCGCTTTTATTAAAATTCTCTAGCTTTAAAATGACTGTTTTAACTTGAATTTTGTTACAAAACGTAGCAAGATGTGAAAAACTACTGTAAGCTTAACTTAGAAAGGATAACAAATATTTTTACAGCGCATTGAGAATGTTATTAACAATATGTTATGCACAGGCGCCTTAAGTTAAAGCGACTTAAATGAACAGTTTCACTTAAGTTTGGCTCTCAATCCAGCTATTGCACGTCTACCTATCAGCAGAGTACACACGTATTCCCCAAGCGTACATATGTACACTGTATACTCAATTTATGGGCGCAAATCTTTGGGCGAGCCTTCAAAGTGCAGTTCACTGGCGTTGCAAAATTTACAGCATTGCCGCATCGAACCGGGCAGTTGCCATCAATCGACATTCAGGCTCAATAACATTGAGCGACACGTTTGGCGCATGGGGCAAATAAATTTTTCAACTTTACATCCTTTAATGAAGTGCCCCCCTCCCTCTCCACCCCCCTTCTGCTCGGGCTGACCAGGATTGTAAAATTCTTTTGGCTCAGCGCTAAATTTAAAACGTGCTGCGGACTTGGCCAACGAATCGTATCGAATCCGTTCGGTTTTAATTAAACCAAACGTTGTGGCGCATTGAAGGGCGCAACCCGCCCGCATGTGTGTGGGATGCATATGCATATTTAACATTGTGAGCACGTGTGTGTGTGTGCGAGTGTGTGTTTGCACATGGCCAAGTAATAAGGATAATTGATTCATTAGCGCATGTATGCATTTAATTTGAATAACACAATCGCCTGCAGCTGCTGCTGCTGTCCGAGATAAATGTTCAATGTTCGCATTTAAAAGACTTTTCTAATCAAACATCATCAATAGCGCATTAATTGCTGTGCTCGAAAGAGACAGATAGACAGGCAGAGCGAGAGAGAGAGAGAGATGGAGATTCAATGGAATTTGCTTTGCATGTGGCCAAAATGGCGCATGCAAATAAAATGCAGCGCATGCAGGATGTTGAAGGACTTCACATTCATAGGCCGCAAGTTTGATTGCCTTTTGTGCTGCTTTCACTGCGCTTCCCTCGATTTCCCTGCTCACCCTCTCTCCCGCTCTCCCCCTCTGTCACTGTTTTTTTTCCACCTTTTTCCAGTCCAACACGATTGCTGTGCAATTTCACGCTTGTTTGCTGACCGACGACCAACTGACCGCAAGCAAAACGGGGAACCACAGTAAGCTACATGCGACCGCTGCTATGGGCAAAGAGGGTTGGAACGAAAGGGGGGAGGGGGGGGGGGGTCGATGGGTCGTTGGTAGCTGGTGGGGGGGTACTTGGCGGTTGGCGTAATATTGACATGCTAGCCAAAGGTTTATGCAGCGTGGCAATCACAAAACAAGTTCTGCGATTGAGCAGCAAATATGTGCCAAGGCTTAAAGATGTTTGATATACATGGGGAAAATTACTCGGCGTTGCGCGTTTCAAAATTAATAATGTTAATACTTGCACATGTACAGTCAAAACTGTCCTAACGTACAATCCTATTGGGACACAACTCTCTCTCTCTTTCCACCTCTATTTAACTTTAACCGGCGTTCGCCGTTCGTTAAAGAGAGCTTTTACTGTAGTTCGGCAATACCAACCCACCTACCACAGTTTTCAATGTAGTTCTAAAATTGTTTCTTTAGTTCGGCGAACAGCTAGGCAGCTAGGTGAGTGGATTGCATGAATTGTTGCTGCGGTTGAACCGGCGATTTGCCGCTTGCTAGTCCGACGCTCATACATCTTATGCACGCACGTTTGCAAGGAACGCTTTTATGACTGCTCTGCGTGGCTGTTGTTTTTTTAAACATACTTTGGCTGCCATTAACTCCCACTTGCAGCTCAAATTTTTCAAATGTTTCTTAGTGCCCACTTTCAACCCAATGGGAAGCTTCAGCAAAAATGTCAGCTTCAAAAATTGAAGCGACTACTTTGATTATAAACGTTGGCTGCTGAGTTGCTAGCTCTGCTTAATTTTTAGCCGACCGTTTACAGTAGATATTAACTAAACAAGCTATGAAGCTGAGACAAAAGAGCTTGAAGTCAAAAGCGGGTCACTTATTGAAACAGTTGTAAATTTTCACAATTTTTGTTAGTTATGACAATCAAATTGGTAAAGTAAAGAGACAGCTAACAAGTTGGCAGCCACCATAAATACCCCATACAAAAAGATTTGTAAGAGTTTGTAGAAGCAAGAGACAGAATGCAATAATAAGTTTAGAAATTCAGCAAGAAATTATGAACTATCTTTTCTCAAAGTTTTAAACAGAATTCATAAAAGCGCTCGGTGTTATTTTATATAATGACATTTTGTATAATAACATTTCTCAGTTATTCACAATAACTTTTACGTAATTGCACGTTCTCAGCTCTTCTCTATTCATAAAATCTCGACGCATAAACTAAGCGAAGGCTGAGCTCTAATTGGGTACACATTAAATTACACGTAGCAGTTGGATTTATATATACAACATATAAATTGACATGGCCTACATATTTATATATGTTTATATGCCTAGCCTGGCATTGCATGTGCGCAGTTCTCAGAGGTTAACTCACCCAGTCTCCGCCAACAGCCATATGACGGGCGCACATTACGTATGC